ATTTAAATGGTAGCAGCACTGTTTCTTGCACTGTTATGTTGGCAGGTTTGACTCTTACAGTACCTAGTGCAAGCGAAAACCGACACTAAGGTGACGAACCTTTTCATTCCGCGACTGTACAAACAGGTCTCTACTCTAAGCACATCCATTATGGCGCCACCTTGAGGTTAACGACGCAAACGTCGTAAAATATATCGGCGTTCGGTATTCCGGTACGGTTTAAGTTTACGGCTCTGTGGTATGAATCGAACACGACAGAAAGCTGGAACCAGAGTTACGACCGCAGGTAGTCAAAGACAAAAACATTAAGGTATTTCTAGGTAACGTCGTCAGTATATTTGACTATAGTTATTTTTTAAAGAATATTAGTTTTTCTTTAACGACTCGTTCTAAGCTAAATTTGCTTGTTTTACGAGTGAGTTCATCACTAGTCTAGCCATCGAATCGTTTGCGTATTCGAATCGCCATCAAAAGAGTTAGTATGAAAACTACAACAGCGCCTTTGTGAACGTGTCGTAAAGTGAACTTAGTATGAGAAATGGTTGCACGAAACTTATTTTGAGAATCAAAATTGTCACGTTATCCTTTAATTCGAAGGTTGCGCAAACGATTCGAAGACGAAAGTTGTTCATGCTAGAGGTACAGTGTTCCTCGAATTTCGAGTCGGACAATCCGACACTTTCAACGTTGGGCTTTGACTTTTATAAATGATGCAAAATCAAACCTAATATTATTGGGAACAACCTACTCTTCTCCAGCGCGTGGAAACAAACTTTTGGTAATGTCTAGACAGAAGCGAAAACCTAAAATGTGATTAAACTACGAACTCACGACTTCATGTTGGTACTCTAGCTCTAGAATATTGTGTAAGTTTAGACTTATGTAGATGTACTCGTACATGTTTGTTGTTCCCAACAAAAGTAAAAAAGTCCGTTGCGGATTTTACCAACTTTATCCATTTACACTCGTTCTCATTCGAAAAGTCTGATGTTGTCACGTACATAAAGTTGAGGGTAGACTGAAAAACTTGCTCGAAATGAATAATATAAGCTTTTAGGGTTTGAGGCCGTGCGTGAATTTTACTCTATGAAGAAAACTTCTCAAGGACAAAAACATAAATGAAAAACATTAGATTGTAACTAAATAAGGAGGTACCTACTATTTATTCTATATTTATAAAACTAGCTTTCCGCCCGCGGCTTCGCCCGCGTGGAATTTTGTCTGTCACAGAAAAACTTTATCGCGCGCGTCCCTGTTACAAAAACCGGGATAAAAACTATCCTATGTTCTTTCCCGGGACTCAAACTATCTCTATTACAAATTTCATCAAAATCGGTTGCGAGGTTTAAGCGGGAAAGCGTAACAGACAGACAGACAGACAGACAGACAGACAGAGTTACTTTCGCATTTATAATATTATATATAATATATATATATATAGTTGGGAAGTTGGGATTGGGATTTACTGATTGACTGACTCACTCACTCATCACAAAATACAAGTGTAAGGATTCTCAAATTTTGCATTGGGTTTCCTTTTAGAACGTAGGTGCTCACTGAGAACGGATTTTACGAAACTCCACCCCTAAGCACAGAATAAGTAATAGTACAGGTACAGAAGGATTACTCCGCAAGACGATTTAAATAAATGCGAGTCTTGCTACGACGCGATACAGTGGAATTCAGCTCGCACAGCACTACGTACCTACAATTTTATTCACCTACAAGTTTTGTCTCTTTCTATCGCGTGCCTCTGAACTCTTCTTACGCTGTTAGGGTTGCTGTCTAGTGAAAAAATAATTAATCTACTTATTTGTAATGAGGTACGTATGTAGGTAAGTATGCATTCATTATGGAAAACCTTCATAGTAGGTTAGGTTCCTATACTATCCTAAGAATTATTGATTACCTACATGGCCAACATACCTTTCAGCATCTTTGGGAAGCGAAAAAAAAAGATAAATCCGGTAGATTACTTTTCGAATTTAAACACCCGAACGCCGCACAATATTTCTTTCTCTTTATGTCCATTTTTAAATAATACTTCGATCATAGAATTATAATCATACTACAACGCACGCCAGCGTCCTGACGAGTGCGCGCGTGACACTCGACTGATATAATACCCGCCGGCGGGGCGCTTCGCTGTAGGTAATTATCGGATGTACCGCGCGGAGTGAGCCAGGCCTGCCCTAAGGGGGTAAAACGAGATCCACGCGTACGAAGTCGCAGGCGGCCGCTGGTTTATAATACTATGTACCTACTTTTTTATAGATAGAGATAGTAATTACCTGTTACTGACGAGAAAATTTAGAATAGATTAAGAATAGAATAGAAACTTTATTGATACAATAAGTACATAAAAGAAACAAATAATAATAAGAGGCAAGTGATTTACTGAAATCGGAGCGGAAAGCGAGGTAGGTAGTCTCTCAAAGTACAAGACTTAACTTAAGTATTTACCTACCTAATCAATCAGTTCACGGTTAATATTCAAATTTAATATTATAAGCTTCTTAAGAAATTTATAGATAAGGGTAAATTAGATGAGTATTTATTTTATAAATAGATATATAATCTATTCATGATATCGGTAATATCGACAAGTGTAAATGTTAACCATTTTACGAGCAACAGAACTAAATAGTACCTACATAATTTATAGTATTTATTATGTTACTAAATATTGGTGACATTGAAGTGATGTGGGCCTAAAATATTTCGTCTATAGATACCTGTAGTTGGATTTTCAATTTGAATATTTAATTAATTTGTAAATAATCAATGTGTGCTCGTAGTGGTTTATTACTAATTACCTACTTATAAACAAACAGATCCCACCCACAACCGATGTTACACGAATCACCAGATTTGTAAGGTCTTGGATGCGCCCCGAGACAAGCTTTTGTTAGCACGTCATTGATTTTACGCGATAAGCCCATACATTTGTCGTCTAAAATCATCGATAAGATTTTATCACGGCACACAATCTAGCCCGGCAAGTGGCAGTTGCTTTGGCTGGGTTGCACCAGGTTGCACCATCTTACTTAACTCCATACAAAAACACCGGTTATTGTCAAAGTTACGGTCAAAGTTACGGTCAAAGTTAGGTGGAGCAACCCAGCCTTATGCCCGTTTTCACCATCAATTCCAGTAAGTGATCCCTATGAAAACCAAATTCCTGTTAACTGTTATCGGCAGGGCATTAATTTTCTTATCACATTACTACAATCTAAAGCATTGAAATTCAATCGCTCAGTAATAAGATACCAAAAGGATTAAATACTAATCCTTTGAAATCCAGAGGAAAAAATTAAGTATAACTACGCAACAAGCGAAGTTTCCAGGCGTTTTCTTTGTGCGTTATAAAATGAGGTTTCTGGATCTAATTCAACTTTTATTAAAAATACCATCAGTGGACTTCTAGGAAAAGTCTTCTGACTCACTTTTAAAATGCTTTTAGATAGAAAAACATTTAAAAGCAGTAGAGACAGCCACTTATTAGCATTCATATTAATAAGACATGCAAAGTAGATTCTATTAGCCTGGATTTTAAAGAGATTAAATTTTTAGGACAGTTTTAAATTAAAACAGCTTTTATTTTTAAAGAAAATGTTTTCTCGTTGCTATAAAACGGTATTTAAATATATTTTACTATTTTAAACAGAAGAGATCTTTACTCTTATCACGGTAATACTATCTATACAGTATTCTAACTCGGCCATATTTTTGAAATAAATGTCAACAGCCGCGCGGAACGTCACGGTATGACAACATGGGATAGGGCTCCCACCTGTAGCCTATTTAGAATTTCTATCTAGTTTTGTGAATGTATTTTGTGATTGTAATTTTTCATTTTATTTTGACAAACAAAATACTTTGTGAATTAAATAGGATAAAAATGCATAAGGTAAGTGCCCCCTACTTCGGNAAATGATTCCTTACTTAAATTATCAAAAAAAATATCAAAAACAAACAATATTATTTTTTTGTATAGGGCTTATTAAAACACCGTGTTCGAATAAGGCCTACACATAAAACCTTTTGAATAAATCAGTTTAGGAACATCATTTAGTCTTGATTTTTTGTAAACAAAATGAGATCTCAATTTTTGTTAGAACCAGGGCATAAAAAGGCTTCTGAATCATCTTTACGAACTCCTACACAATCTTTATGATACCACCAAAAGTAGTCCTTTATGGTAGCATATCTGCTACATTGTCTTCGAGACAGGCATGATAATATCAGCTTTAATCCTTTAGAATTATACATACGGCTTTTTTTTCTTATTTTTTATTGGTGTTGTATTTTGTTTCTTTTTTTTACAGGTTTAGTAATTTTTTTTACTCTGTTTTCTTTTTATTTTCTGTGCTGTTAGTAACATTCTTATTAAATAAATATTTAGTTACTCTTTGACTCATTTAGTTTAATGAATTTGTCCGTAATCAGGTGTTGACATAAGTATCCAATATGGCCTACCATGCTGAAATAAGGCCTGGGCCTTATTAGATATCTCGCTCTTGTTGTCTTTAAACATTTACAAATAATGCATCTATAGCCAGTAGTACAAATTAAGGTAATTATTAGCTAGTAAGAAATATTTAGAAACAATTACTAAGAAAAGCTTAATCTAAAACTGCGTTATTTTACCGAAAATTTAAGATGAAATCGCCAGATTTTTATAAGAGAGCACGAAATCACCCACCACCTTAGAAGAACGCGTGCCAATTGGTGCTGGGATCGTGGATCGGGACGCTCTTACACTCTACCGGGTTGTAGGGCATATGAGTACGTGTCCTTGAAGTATTATCCCGGTTGGATTTGTTTATCTGTGTTTTCTGATGTATAGGCCTTATTAGAACGTAGGCCTTATTTGTATCAAGTACCTTATATCTAGTCCGTACTTGTTTTTATTAATTTACAGTAGCAAAATTAGCAATTGTTGTTTTGTTTGGTAATAATTCTTATTATAACGCGTGATTTTATTTATGATGAGTGAAATGGAGTCTGTAGTGGTAGAAATAAACGAACAATCGGTGAGCAATACTAGTTTTGTCGATCAAGAACACTTTGATGCAGAGTTACAAAAGTACTACAGTGGGCTAAGTACAGAAAATAAAAAGTTTATTTATTTTCTGTACTTAGCCCACTGATTGTACTGGCTGATTAAACTCATTATAATACTTATTATTATTATAACTTACAATAATAAAACTCTGAGCTCCAATATATTTTTTTAAACATTTTTCATTTACTTAACTAATATAGCATAGACGAACTTGAATATCCCTATCTCTAAAATATAAATATTAAAACAACATATCTAAGTGTTTGTAACTCTATGAATAAACACTTGCTAAATGCTTATAATTAATGCTGTCGACCAATCAGAGAAAAGTGTATTAAGTGACGGATATTGATGTACCGTCAAATAGTACACTGGGCAACGATTGGTCCATTTGTGGACGATTTTACTTGTAGCAATATAGTTAATTATTAAATTACGGCTAGGTACCGTAAGTTGACCAATTAGCTAAAATTCAATGCGTTAAATAGTACATTTCAACTGCCGTTTATTATTTTCCGAGAGTTGATCAACTACCTAGAAAATTGATCAACTTACGAGTCTTGTTATTTTCCGGTGACATATACATTCTTCACAATTTCACAGTTTAGAAGCTTTTAGTAGTTAATTGATTTCAGATAAAGCTATTATGAGGCGATGCCTGAAATTATTGCTTTTAATTAGCCCCAGAATCCGCCTGAGCAATTTGCTAACAATTAACCACTTTATGTAGCGTTCCTCAGGGGTCTGTTTTAGTACCGCTATTATTTATTCTGGAATATTTTTAATTTACTTCCAGTTTTCAACGAGGCTTAAATACGAAGCTTTGAAACTAAGCCTGATGAATTAAACACTTTGTTTCCCTAAGTAATGTAAAAAGTTGGTGACCTTACATTTTATTAACTAATTAAGGACTATTTTGGGGTTTCTTGTCCTGGTTCTTTGCATAATTGTTCCAAAGCAGTAGAAAAATTAAATTATATTGATACAGTCGACTGCAAAAGCACATAGGGTAAACTTCCAGTCATTGGACACGTAAGGGCATGTCTTAGAGCTATTGGGCAGATCTTTAGGTATTGAATTAAAAATAGCATATCCACTACAACATAATAATATGGAGTTATAAAGGTGACCAATAGCAATTTGCATTTGAAGTTATATTCGTTAAGAACTTTCAAGGGGTGTTTTTTCCAATGATCCAGTCTATTACAAATACATACGTAGTGTTGTAGTGGTTAGCTTGTACATACAAGGGGCAAATAATTATGAATTTTATAATTAACAAAATAAAGATGTATTTTATTCGTTTAATTTGCGTCCAATAAGGTTGTCCGTACTATACGCTGTTTATTTGCTCTACAAATCTGGCTCAACGTTTTGCCCCAGTTTTGAAATGGTGTTTGGAGCTGATTAAACTGCGGGCATTTTAGTAATTAAATATTCAAAGAAGCAAATTAAGAATTTGTTAAAAATTATTTTCAAAGTAATTAAGTAAGCTGAATATAAATGAGCCTGTGATAAAGGCCACAAATTGATACAAATAAACTGTAGATAATGTTTTTTCTTTAGTGTGATTGGAATTAATTTATAATAACAGTCGTTTTTATGTGACTTCCGTTCTTTTCCAATTTATTTCTATTTTACAGCTTTTTCCAATTTTCCAGAAAACTGTAATACTTTTTTTACCTTTCTCTACATTTTCTCAACATCAGCCGATTAACTGTCCCGAAGCTAATATCCCGAAGACTTGTGTAGGTGCCCTAAAAAGGGCTCATAAACGAATAAAACTTAGGTAATCTTAATTTTTTAAAGAAAACTCGATACTGATAATAATCTTACTCTTCTTCCACAGGCCAAGAATACAACTTCAACAAACTGACAGCTGAAGAAGTAAACTCCCTCGGGCAGACCTACGACTACGATTCTATCATGCACTACGCCAGGAACACCTTCAGCAAAGGGACGTACCTGGACACCATCCTGCCCTTAGAAGTACATGGCAAGAAGCGACCAGAGATCGGGCAGAGGGTCAGACTGAGTGTCAGCGATATAGCGCAGACGAACCTACTGTATAAATGTGCCAGTAAGTATACTTTTGTTTGTAATTACTTCTGATAAGCTGCGTTTATTCTGTGCCAGAAGAATCTGGCAATTTCGCAGAGTCTTCGTCCTGCACTACCTATTTAGCCAAACCTACCTAAAGGCACTAGATAAAAATGGATAAACAAACTTACTTTTTTCATTAATTTTGCTTCTCATTGATTCCAACCGGCCAGCGCGCGGCGTCTCTTCTTAATAACGTACTTCCGAAACTACAGCCCTGGAAAAATTAAGCAAATTGTATTAAGGAACTCAAAAAGTTATTAGATCGTCACCGTTAGAATCCATCGAAACAAAAATAGAAAAGATAAACTCTACAAACGTTCCTGTTTCGCATAATCCTACCAGAAAGTTTGCGGCACGTCTGTTGTTTGTTTCGGGCTTTATCCAGTACGATTCGGTTTTATAAATCTACAAGGTCTTGCCCGCGGCTTCTAACGAATTATCGTCCTTCATGGATACTTACTACACGCCTACTTTGTAATCTGTCTAGAAGTTCACACACTGGACTATTCTTCCAGAGATCGCAGGTTCGATCCCCGCAATATAATATTTGTGTGCATGCAGTATTTAAGTATGTAGGTATAATATTTTATAATAATATTCGTTTGTTTTACACCCATAACATAACATAACTACATAACTACAAGCTTTGCTTAGTTTGGGACTAATAGATGGCGTATTTCAAAATGCCCCCGAGGGTATAATTTTATTAGATGCACAAGCAAAAAGATGAACTCTTATTTATACAGTTATCTTTGAGTATGTAACCCTATAAACTAGCGGTGGACTTTCCACTCTTACAACTTCTAGCTCAAAATTATTGTTGTCCTTTACTTAAATTGTATAACTTAATCAATTCAAAGTTTGATTCTCAAAAGGAATACCCAAAGTAGGTAAAGTAATTTAACATTAAACGGAGTTTGTACACTTTTGTTCTGAATAATGATACTTCCAGTTACTATTATTTGTTGAGCAAAATTAGCCACCGTTTTATTTTTCCATACAGTTACCTAAAATTCCTAAGCAGCATATTTCGCGTTATTTGGTTACCAAATGAGAAGGAAAATTAAACTTTATTCCTTTTAGTTAGAATACGTAAAATGATGGTCTGAAACTTTGAGCTTCAGAATCAGAAGGATGCTTATTGCTCAACAGTGAAAGGGTTTCCCGCTGAAAAACACACCTAGCTAAAGGGTGCCTCTAGTACATACATAGAGTTTGTTAGCTTGAGTAACTACATTATGTAACTCATATAAAAAATGTCGCGTTGAGACCCGTGTTTACCTATAGGTTGAGAATCTAGTGAGGGGCCTGCCCACACTAGGTTTTCCATTTCTTATGTTAAGTTTTACCTTATCTTATTCATGAGTACTTTTGCAACTTCTTAAGTAAAACCGCTGTAAAAATACACACTCATACTCGTACATGAATTACTCGAATTTGACACGGGTACAGAAAAAAAGGCTGATCACTATTTTTTTCTAGAATGCGGTAAAACCCTGCTGGGTAACTCCGGCTGGTTCAACTCGCCCGGGTGGGGCTCCGAGGCAGTCCCGGCTACAGCCGAGCGCTGCGAGTGGCGGATCGTCGCTACGCATGGCGAACGAGTCGTGCTCAATATTACTGGTAAGTTTCATTATGCTTTTTAAAACTAGATACAGCATCAGCCTAGATGGAGCGGGCTATGCTCGGAGTTTCCCTGCGTGATCGAATCAGAAATGAGGAGATCCGCAGGAGAACCAAAGTAACCGACATAGCTCGCAGAATTGCTAAAATCAAGTGGCAGTGGGCGGGGCACATAGCTCGTAGAGACGATGGCCGTTGGGGCAGGAAAGTTCTCGAGTGGCGACCACGGGCTGGAAGACGTAGCGTGGGCAGGCCTCCTACTAGGTGGACCGACGATCTGGTAAAGGTCGCGGGTAGAGCCTGGATGCGGGCAGCGCAGGACCGTTAATTGTGGAAAACCTTGGGGGAGGCCTTTGTCCAGCAGTGGACGTCATTTGGCTGAAACGACGACGATGACGACAGCATCAGCAGGTCATGCAGTCTCCACTGCTGGTGCACGACACTCTTAATAACTAGAGACTAATGGAGAATTTGATCTACACTTCCTACGCTGGTCAGACGGATTGCGGAGGTCTGATATCGAGTGATTGTCCCTTAGTCGCATCTAACGACTACGGCAAGAGTGGGAGTGGTTTTCATCTACTCTAACCACAGGAGAGCATACTCTTCATCATACAAAATTACAAAAAAAATGTTTCTAATTTACCCAGGCGCACTTTTCAGTCCAGCGTAGATAGGTACTCTATTCTCAAATGAAATTGATGCAGAGAGCCTACCCCTAACACAATACAATACACATTTAGCTTACTTTGAAAGGTTTAAAGGGATCGTATCTTCAAAAAAATTAATTGGTGGTCTATCAGTTTACTTACACTAGACTAACAAGGACCAAATAAATTGATTGTTGTTGTTAATAATACGATTAAAAAGCAACATGGTAAATGTCGCGGCCATAAAGTATCTGAATGTGAGCGGTGCAGGACCAGCTGTTGTGGAAATCCCCAAGGGAGGACTTTGTTCAGCAATGGCCGGAATAAGATTGAAATAAAAAAGCATCCTCATTGCAAAATTGGAAACATAAAACACTAGCGGCCGCCTGCGACTTCGTACGCGGATCTCGTTTTACCCCCTTCATCTATCTTACGCGATTTAGATTTTTTCATACAAATGTTTTTTCCCGCTAACTCCCGATCCCGTGGGAATTTTGCAATATCCTGTTGTAACTAAGCTTTAAGTTTACTAAGGTACCTGCATGCCAAATACTAAGGTACCTGCATGCTAAATACTAAGGTACCTGCATGCCAAATTTCAAGCGGCTAACTTAAGCGGTTTATATTTTTCATACAAAAGGATTTTCCCGCTAATTCCCGTTCCCGTGGGAATTTCGGGAATTCCTTTCTTAGTGCACCTCTACGGTACCTAAACTACGTCCCTTCCAAATTTCAAGTGCCTACGTTTAGCCGTTTAGGCTGTGCGTTGATCTGTCAGTCAGTCAGTCAGTTTCTCCTTTTATATATTTAGATTCTCCATTTACTTTACGTAATGTCAATCTCATCAAATAATGTTTATTTGAAATGTCAATAGTAAACATGACTACATTAAGGTCCGCCAGTGAGGTGTGCATTAGCGTACTCGGTCTGCGGTCAAGTTAATTATTGGCATCGCTCGGTCCATGTGGTGGAATTAATTGTTCCACTGGGATTCAGATACAGTACAGAACTGCGACAAATGACCCTTTGTTGGCCATGAGCATTGAGCAGCCAAAATTCACACTATGGAGATGTATTATGGCCAATGTTTTTTTACGTGGTTGGGGAAAATCGTAGTTCTGCTTCAGTGAAGGGAAGATTTTTTTAAATGTTCTCTTGATTTAACACGGGTCCATATTCGGTTGCATAAAAAATATTGTCATAATTTAAGAGTGCATAAAGTTTTTTGGCATACTCATCATTTCGCATAACGTTCATACAATATAAATCATAAGGCATAATTTTTTTTGCCATAACCACTTTTATTATAATAATATTTTAGTATATATTTTTTCTGTATTTTTGTTTTTTTAATAACGATTTCTAGGCATAACATTTATTGGCATCTAAACCAATGCCATAAATATTACCATTCATAATACAAAATACCATAATGTTAACAAATATGAAATATAAAAATGTTATTCATATAAAATATAAGTTAAAAAATATAAATAGACAACCAAGCATACAAACAAGCATGCAAGCAAGCAGCAAGCATGCAATCAAATAGCAAGCACGCAAGCATGCAAGCAAGCTGCAAGGAAGCAAGGATGCAAATAAGCAAGCCTGCAAGCAAGCAGCAAGCATGCAAGGAAGCAGCAAGCAAGCAGCAAGCAAGCATGCAAGCAAGCATGCAATCAAGCAGCAAGCATGCAAGCAAGCAGCAAGCATGCATGCAAGCAAGCATTAGGATTGCCTTATCTCCGGCGCTGCGGGAAGTGCGGTCCTACCGCTCTGGCGTAACATATACCCGGCATGCCATGCTCGCTTCCGCAGCTTCGGCTTGCTGGTCGCCTTCGGCGACCAGCCTCAGCCGCTCCAGCTCGCACGGCTGCCGGATATATGTTACAGCGAGCGAGGACCGAACTCCCTCCGCGCCTCCGGCTTTTAAATTACACTCTAGTATAGGGCAGACTAGTACCACGTGGAAGAGACCACGGCCAGTCGGGATCTACATAATTCCAGACCAGGCAAGCTTAATGTTGTAAAAGAAATGTGGACTGTTTTTTTAATTTGTATAATATGTGCGTAATAAAAGATAAGAGGGATTCGAGATCAAACAATGTATTTTCATGAGCTTAAGTTTTCTAAGAGACAGGACAAAATTAGGAACAAAAATGACAATGACACAGAGAATTTAGTTTTTACAAAATAGGCCGAAAGAGTATACTCGTATAAAGGTGGAAGGAGGATCGCTCGCAACATCACAAATACATAATTAATAACTCTTCAATGTTGGTTGCTTTTATAGACTTTAAATGTTATAAATAATTAAATTATGTTTATCGTATTTTATTCAAAACAAACTTTAGGAATATAATAATTATGTTATTTACATTTATGATTTTTTAAATTATGGTATTGAAAATTAGAGAAAGTTATTATTATGCCTAAGAAACCATTATGCATTTAGAAAACTATGCCAATCAAAGTTTATGCGAAAAAACTTTATGCAAATACTGTTATGCCAAACTAAATTATGATGAAAAATGTTATGCGTCTGAGAGGGCACCCATTTAACACCGGGGTTAGATTCTATTCTAACACTGATGTTTTTAAGATATATGAATCACATGACATTGCCAATCATTAATGGTTCAGTTTTTTTGCGGGAAACTGCAAACGGGATGTTCAACACATATAAACTGGATCCTGCATAAAACAATACCTAAAGTGGGATGTCTCCGTGGGATCAAGCTCTTAGGCCTCAGCCTCGAACTTAGCGGGCAGCGGGGCGGGAGCACAGAATAAGTAATAGTACAGGGGGAGCGGCGGCGGCGCTGGAGCGGGGCGGGCAACGCAGACCCGTTCTCGAAACAAGCGGGCAGCTCGCGCGGCGCTTTAGCGGCGAAGTGTTGTGTTCGGGGTTGTGTTGTCGAGATATTTGTTTTTATTCGCAAACGAAATGTCTGAACAACGGCGACAATTTTATTTCGATTCAAATTTATTCCTAACGCTCGATTTATTGTGGGCAAAAGAAGGAGTGCGCTGCCCGCTCGTTGCCCGCTCCCTCGCCGCTGCCCGCTCGTTGCCCGCTGCCGCCCCGCTGCCGCGCCGCTGTTTTCGAGAACCGGTCTATTTGATTTTACGCATAAGATCCTGCCGCTCCCGCGCCGCCGCCGCCGCCGCTCCCGCCCCGCTGCCCGCTAAGTTCGAGGCTGAGGCCTTAAGCTTCAACCACTGCACACCTTCCGTGCAGATCGCCATCGCCGACGCGATCATAGGGAAATGACAGATCGCGTGAACTGTCATGGGTCGCGTTAGAAGCATTACAGTGGCCTGCGTGTGAGTTTACATCAAAATTAAAAAAATGTATGAAAATTTTAGTTTTTTAACGTTTCCCGCTAGGGGCACTGTACGATCCGTCATACATTTAATGTAATTTTCTGTTTTTCGTTTGATGAAAACTCACACTAGGCCCTCAGATGACGGGAAATCAAGCTAAACACTGTGGCATGTAAAGTTAATTGTAGTAATTAAAAAATAATCTGATGATGATGTCGTCTTAAACTAAAGTTTAACCTTTTCTGACCCCGTTCCATATTTACCGCATATTCATATCGAAAATCAAGTTAAACGTAAATGTAAAACGATTTTCCGTTAATTAATGGCGGTGGATTGGCACGAATTTAATTACGTTCCGAATTATATTAATTGTTTCGGTCCGCAACAGTTCGTGTGCAGTACAAACGCGGTTTACACGCAATTACCCGCAGCTTTTTGATTTAAATTCAGCAATGATGTTTATTAATTGGTTCAGTCAATCAACTCGGCGGTAGCTTATTTAAATAAATGAAATTGTATGCAGAGTTCTTTATAATAACTTCTTAATTTTAATAAATCTCATCGTATTTTAGTCGTATCCATATCATCATTGTTACTTTAGTCTCAACTCTAGCTCTATTTTTAGGTGGACGATTCTCTTTCATTTTTACCACAAAGTAATAAAGCCCAAAAAAATTGGCCGCCTCCTTGGCCGCGCGGTAGGTACTACTGGCCACCTAGAATACTGCGTTCTTACCTCGCCAACCAATATCGATGTTCTTTTGTTTTTCTCGTTCTCGGTGCTCGAATTTTCAAGCATTTTCCACACTCGATTTTGTAAAAAAAAATTTTTGTTATAGCCTTTATTGTATTCACGTTTTACCATTTAACAAGAAGTTATTAACTACTTGTAAGTTTAACATGTATTACTACGGTACGTACGACGGTAACGGTACCCCAAAGTACATACACTACACGCAACATTGAGGCCCATCGAGCCACTATAAAATATTATTATTATCAATCATTGAAAAATACATTAAA